CCTAGTGGCGGCGTTCACTCACTGCACGAGGTACTCATTTGAGGCTGAGTCGACCTATGGGAGCCCCAGATCCCATTCAGATCATCTCTACTAGTGTTGGCCGTGAGCAGGAACCGAACTCGGGTCGCCAGGTTCGTAGCGGAGTGCACCAAACGCTACACTACCGCTCCCCACACAGATCTACACATACATACACAAAGACACTTCGCAGCATAGCGCCTGCAGTCAACTCGTGCTGCTGCGTGGGGCACAAACTTGCAAGCCACAATGACAACGGCTCTAACTGCTCTGTTTGCTGAGAGAAGAGGAAAACGACGAGGGTCAGTGACCTTGTGGCTTCTGGGTGTCACTCACACGCTGGTCTCAGCAACCTGCCCTTCTCCCATCCTGCACATGTCAGCCATCCACCGTAACCTCATCTGCCCAATAATGTCTACTATGCTTTCTCGCCGCGTCCTATTCTGAACTTCCATGTCGCTGACCCTGTCCTGACATGAAATTCCTAACATTATCCACTTACGTTGAACTTCTTTCGCACCGTGCGTAACCAGCCTGTCTATAGGAGTTTGTATTTGAATGTCTCAATGTTTTTTTTTCTTTCTCTAAATGCCTTGTGTATGATTCGGATGGACACGTGGAAGTGATGGTTACCTGCTGGGAAGATCTCATGGCTAATTATGTGTTGCATAAAATAAATAATTTATGGGACCAGCTCAGCCACAACCCAATCCCTCACACACTCCCAGCAAGTGAAATCCTACTCATGAAATATTCCTGGAAGAAGTGTATCGTGTTGTAGTACGTATATAAACTTTTGTGCACCATACATAGCCAACCGTGCTAATCAGAGGACCGGGGTAGGGACAATATACGTTTAACTCGGGGTTTTTCGGGGGTGCCTATGGCGCCCCTCACAACCATTTACGGCCTTTGGCCAGGAAAGTCACTAAAAAAATTGCACACGAACGACGCATTCACGCAAGCACCCGATGCTCCGTTTTGAAGTTTAAAAATGAAACATCTTTGAATTGTATTATGTTTTTATTTAGATAATTGTATTTCTTCATTAAAAGCTTATATCATTTGACACCTGGAAGACTTAATTGAAAACGACATTTCGTGTGAATTTTCTCTCGTCGTTAAGTAGATGGCCTTGCTGGGGGCTCGGTTCGATACGGACTTTCACCTGTCTGGGATTGCGGGATCCAGATAAGGCGACATAGAGCTGACCGTGCGAGAAGACCGCCGTCTGCAGATCGATTCCAACGTGATCGAACGTCTGTCCCTACGTCTCCGTCGTTCATGCAGGGGGCGTGTCGGTTTACAGCGCCCCCTGCATGGAAACTACGGAAAATGCAGCATTCATCACAGATAAAGTTGTGCGCTTATATGAGTATACAGTATGTGTTTATTATTCACATTTATTTTACAATTTGTGTGTATCAGAAAATATGCATTAACAAATACAAAAAACTTTTTGCATTTCCATCGAAGTCAATTTGCATCGTATTTAGTGGCCGCCCTCTCTTGCCTTTAAATTGTCATGAAGAACGAGAATAATTATAAAACAAAACTAAACAAAGGTGGCCCGGGGCTCAGAGTTAATATTGAGGAACTGAACACTTCTGAGATCCTGGGTTCTAATCCAGGCAGCCACCTTGTGATTAAACTAGGTTTTCAAGTGTAGCCTTATTATAGCTAGCTAGGCAAGTCTACCTGAACTACTCTTAAATCACAATACTCCTATGTTTGGTTCCAGGAGAGTATATAAATCCATTTCTCCATAACTACTATCATGTCTGCCTCTATAACAGTTCTCTTCATTGCCCTGACCTCACCGAGTCTGACACTCCCAGTGTATTCCTCTCTGTACCAGTCTCTCGCTCTACAAGGATGTATTCGCCAACGTCTGTGCATCCATCTCGATCCGTCTCCATCGCACTGCCCAATCTCCCTGAGCCGTTTCAGTTCGCGCATCATCATAACGTTGAATCAGCATAACATGTGTCTGTAATTTGTATAATTAACATGATATAATGTTGAGCAAGTAATTCAATGCATGTATCGTTTGCTGCAAGATTTGTTGGAGTTGCCATGTTCCCATCCTAATAAGCGTGCAATGATGATGTACTCTCGCCCCCTGCTGTCAAAAATGGTTAATTACTTCCTCAATGGAATACAGCATGTATGTATGTATGTTGAACATCTTTTGCACCACAGGTAGCCAACCGTGCTAATCGAAAGTGCGAGGAAAGGATAACAAACTAAACACAAAAAGCAGTTATAAATAGTCAATCGAGACTTAAAAGTGCATAACTCTAGTGGCTTCCTAACATTGGAAGGATGAGCGTTCCAGACGGTCGCAGCACATCTGAAATCGCGCGATGCAGTGACCATCTTTGTTCGATGGTTAGCCAAAATCCACTCGAGGATGACAACAGTTTACCTGATGGTTTATGCCCCTTGACGAGATCAGCAAGGAATTACTCGGAGACCAACGGTTTAAATTAAAGTGAAACCTCTCAAAGCCGTTAACCCTTTTGATTTGGAGGAATATCTGGCATGCTGCAAACAATTGAATAATTCGGACAATTTCGATTTAAAGCTTTCGTGACTGCAATGATTCATCTTCTTTGGTTCTTTCGGTAAAGTCACGTAGAATGAGAATAAAATAATGAATTGATAAAATAAAATAACACAATAATATTCTCACGACGTTTCGGCCACAACACAAGCGGCCTTCATCAGGTGAAGGGACGAGACTCATTCTACGTGACTTTACCGAAAGAACCAAAGAAGATGAATTCGGACAATATTAAAATTTTAATTCCATGTATACTCAAATGACAACCTAATAGGCGTAATTAATGCTCATCAACCCATCCATAATAAAACTAAACATTTGGTCGTGTGACAATACTTAAGGAATATCACTACTGTACAGTTTAATCTGAGAAATGTACCGTCACCATGAAGCACGGTAGGAAGGTTGAAGTTCACTGGAATTTCTGACAGGCTGCAATAACTTAAAAAAACATAATTCAATGAAAACTGAGAGAACACGGCACCCAAGGACAGGGGTTTACCGGAGCCTCACTCGTGCACAAATGCACGTGAATGTCATTTCAATGTGTTTCGTGCTTGTCATTATTTTCGGTCAGTTTGCCAAAAATCACGAGTGCTGGCATGCACTTCTCAAATTCGTGCACATTAATTGGCATCTGTGTCCGGGTGGCAGGAATTGATTCGTGCTGAGATCTGATACCGGTATTGTGTTGAACTTTATTCCAGTACACGGTACAGTTTTGACAACAGCCCTCGGCTACCTCAAAAATGTCTGGGTTTCTTCTACACTGGAAGAGTGGCAACCCTAATGCAGACAGTGGCAGTGGCTGTTCATTTGACCCACACAAGCACGACTTTATCCATTGATGAATAACAGGGGAATTGAATACATTACGTAAATTATATTTTCCGCACCTCCGATTAACACAGCTGGCTACGTACAGTGTGAAAGTAGTTCAATATACCGTACATACACATTGTTTGGCATGATGTTTAGCATTGTCTTCGTGCAACAGCTGATGGCAATAAATGTTGGTTTTAACTGCCATTTTCATAAAAAAAATTCAGGGCCAGCCTAAGAAGAAATGGCTCCCGTGTCAACCTCACATTCAACGCCACCGCCCCCCAGGTACAGAGTTAAAGGGATGAAACAAGACGTGGATTGTGCCCCCCCTCTCCCCCCATGATAGCGCCGCTGTGTACGGGCGCACAACACCCCGAACCCCTAGGGCCGGGCCCCTGCCTAAACTGTGCAAGCCTAGCAACATTCTCGAATGATAAGAGTTACAGAAGCTGTTAAAGGGCGCCAGACGAATTGTTCACGGGAAACAAAATGAACCGGCACTACGATCATGCCAAATTAATGATTTTTTTTTATCTTTGTGCCCTACCGAGCCGCAATTTTGTTCCGAGTCAAACGTAACGCGCTCACCCGCGATACTCTGTGAGACAGGTTATGATATGTTTTGAGCAAAACAAGAAAATATCGCAATTTTACGTGAATTCCCATTCCAGTTTTTTTTTCTTCAAAAATCTGAAATGATTTGGCGACGTATACATCTCAGGCTTGTTTTTTTTAATTCATGGACATGTTTAATTCAACTTTAAATGTCTCAGAATTGGTCTTGTGTGTGGGAGCATTTAGTCCTTGCTACACCTTCATATATAGAGGGAACGCTTTCTATCCATCATGTTCTATAATCCTCTGGGGGGCTAGAGGATCTGCCATTCCTGTTATCAGTGTATTCCCAAGGACTAACGGTATGTTACAGATGAAGGATATCAGAAAGCATTACTATAAAACTCCTCTTATCTGATTTGAGACTCAAGAGGTTGGGGGGTGGGGGGTGCAGTATGGGGGATCATATTTCACGTGTGCATCTGCCTGAATCACCTCTTTTATCGACACACGGATAATAGGATGCTGCCACTTAACGGTCACTCCTCTTATCTGCATGTTGTCTCAGATAATAGGGTGACCTTGCCGTCATTTTCGGGTCACTCTTGTTTTGCCAAACATGTGGGTAAATCGTGGCATGAATACCAGAATTTTGCAGCTTAGGGGCACGGGTAATATGAAGTACACATGATGTAGTAGCACTGTGATATTTGGTTGAAACGTACACACACACACTTGATGAGATGAGTTTGTAAAAGCAATTAAGCTTCACGTTTTAGAAACCCGAGAACAATGGAAGACAAATGAAACAAAAACAGAAACCGCGCGAGTGGCCAAAAGCGATGTACAATCTCGAGAGACGCTAATACGGTTATAGGCGAGCGGATGGAATCATAACGCACGCAATAAGGCGAAACCCATTAAACGAACGGATTCAATGGGAAAATACCGATGGCGACGTCGGGCCCGACAAGAAGACCACGTGCGCTGTAGGTAAATAAATGTGCGGCGGTTGCCATGGCGACGCTCGACCCACCCTGCTCTGTGCTTGAGTGCTTTGTCTGCAATGGCGTCTTTGGCCACCAGCTTGTTGAAAACCACGATTCCCAAGATCATGTTCACCTGGGAAATGACAGCAACAGCAAGAGATTGTTTTAAACGTATATATACACACACACGTGAGCATCATATGCCCTAGGCCACGTTCATACATGTACAGACACAAGACAGCTACGGTGGGACGTACGGTATAAGCCTTTACAGACATAAGCATATAGGAATTTCCCACCGAATATGTAAGGGTTGCCACTTCTGAGGTGTATACAAAGGTAGATATAATGGGAAAAATATCTCACAATCGCACGCTCACTGCTTCGCGCTTGCGGCTGCCTGGAACGCTCTTCCTTCCGATATTGGGAAGCCACTGTAGCTCCAAAATGTTTATTTATCTAGATTGAAACCTAATTTCTTTAGAACTGCTTTTTTGCGTTGAGTTTGTTGTCCTTTCCCCGCACATCCTACGCATGGTGCAAAATAAGTTCCACATACATACAATAACGGAATAGAGGATAATTACATGTAAATGTATTTGATCTCTAGTGGTGTTTTGTAATTTAAATGACAAAAAACCGGGACAGACTTAGAGATTTCCCAGGACAGCAGCTGCCTCAAAATGAGGGCAATCCTGGGACAACCAGGACAGGTGGCAACACGACAAGACAAAAAACCCCCATGTACAGCCTGAACAGACTGTTGGGGCAAGTGCTGTTTGCGAGTGGCACCTATAAAGGGCAACGTGGTACACTAAAGAATTGAGTTGCCAGAACCACGCGTGGCTACCTTTGTCTCCCCAGTGGTGATTCTTACACACTGCACCAGGTACTCATTTATGGCTGAGTCGACCTAGGGGAGGCCCAAAACTGGATCAGATATATTCGTCACCAATGGTGTTCGTTGTGCAGTGCACTAACCGCTGCACTATCACGTAGGTGTAGTCCAGACAACCCTACATCTATACACACGCATGCCAGTGCATACAATGTGTACGTGTATACCCATGTATTACGTATTGCCGAGGCCCTCCCTCGCTCTGTGTACAACAGCTCAGTGTCTACACAGAGACCGACATTGATTGGCCTGGTGGATCTCAGAACCCATGGGTCGAATTCAAATCTGGATCAAAATCCATCCCATTCCCAGAAAAACGCAAACACAGGACATTCCAGGAAAGCTGATGAGAGTGACACTTGGATTCATATAGCATGCAGCAAACTAATGTATTAGTGGTACACCGGTGGTGCGCTATATATATAAAGAAGCGAATTTTTCGCAATAATAATTTATTTTCCCACGATTCGCGACCCGGTCAGAAAATCGTGCGAGGTGGTGGTGGTGCGTCAAAATCAGCTCTCGTGATGTCCAACAGTCGAAAGACGAATGTTTATGAGCAGCTGAACACGAAGCTTCACAGTCTGTTGCCGTACAGTAGCACCCAGCCTAATGACGATTTGGCTGCTCCGTGTTCCAAAGGCAGATTTGACTCCTCGTGCCTTAGACTTGGTCGGACGGTTCCTCGATTAATTTCCGGAATAATTTATTGGCGGACGGTGGCATCGAAAGATTATGACTCGTGTTGTCACCACCACCACCACCACGTTCGAATGGGAAAGCAGCTGCTGAATCTCAGTGCAACTTCTGATGCAGCTCACTGAAAGGCAACAGTGACAACGTCAGACTATTCTACAGGGACCGGTGTGTTATGCTGCACCCGTGTACCGCCAATACGTCCATAGCCAGTACGTGGCTACCCTGCATGTCGACCAGCATTGTTTAGCTCTGCGTTCATTTAGAACGAAGGCTTAATGGTGAAGCTCGCTGGCAAGGCTGGCTGGTGTAGTTGGCAATCGCGTGTTGCCCCAGGAGACTGCTACTCAATTCTAGATTTAAAGCTTTCGTGACTGCAAGGATTCATACTCTTTGGTTCTATTGGGTAAAGTCACGTAGGTAAAAAAATAAAATAACAAAAATCACGACGTTTCGGCCACAACACAAGCGGCCTTCATCAGGTGAAGGGACGAGACTGGAGGACAGCGCTGGAGTGAAAAAAGCCACGCTCAGATCACGACCTTTAAGCTGTGTGAGAAGAAACAAAGCGCCTTGACAAAGGAATTAGCATATAATTTAGCATTGAAATGGCTGAGTGATTAGCTTGTGACTGGTCACAGAAATGGCTACTCACCAGCACCACCACTGCTGCAGGCCCGACGAAGGAATAGAGGAGCCCACCTTCCAGTGACAACCAGCAACTGGTGTAACGCACACGACCGCACGCACACACACACACGGACACATATCCCCCGTATAGCCTTAACAGACTGTTGGGGCAAGTGCTGTTAGCGAGCACCTATGAAGGCCGGCACAGTACACGGAGGGGATGGGTGGCCAGCACCACGTCCGGCCGCCTTTGTCTCCCCAGTGGCTATGTTTATACACCGCACCAGATTCTTATTTGAGGCTGAGTTGACCTAGGGGAGGCCCAGGACCGGTTCAAGTAATCGTCACTGGTGTTGGCCGTGAGCGGGAATCGAACTCTGGTCACCGGGTTCGTAGCGTAGCACGCTAACCGCTACACAACGCTTCACACATACACACACGCACACACGCATGCACGCGCACACACACATGCACACGTATGCACACACGCACACATACACACACACGCATGCACATGCATGCCCATGGACTAGAGCGTTACATTAATACTTACTGCATATGAATTATTACACGATGCCCTAAGCATGTTCAGTACAAAGAAAAATATCAACCAATACATACAAATGTAAGTATAAAAATATGCAATACAGTATTCTATTTTCTTTGATAACTGTATATACTGAGATGTATTTATTGTTCGGGACATGCACGTCTTAACACTCCGTTTATTCGTTCAATACATAAAAGAAAACAATGTAGTCGTCAGGATGAGGCTGACGACTTCTGACATTCAGATAACCACATAACCATTGCACACAAAGCATTGAGCTGAATAAAACACAAAACTCTGAAACATTCATGAGTCCTGTGGTCCTAGACAATTTTCTAATTATCTGTTCTTAATGCAGTAATTATCGATAGTGGACATCACGTCATAAAATAAAAATGAGGAGAGACGCGGCACACATGCGTAAAGAGTTACGAACAGAAACCACGAGAGTGAAACTTACTAGTGAATCGTTCCATATCCGCTGGACTTTGTAAAACCCACAGATGAAGCCACCACCAGAGCAGGCAGCCCTGAAACACGGAAACAATAATAATGATGCCTTAGAACAATACGTCTGTACATTTTCAGAAAAGATTAACAATCATAAGATGAGAAAATCAATATGCAAAATGTTTATTGGTGATACAATTATTTGGTGATGTTGCGTTAGTAATGGTGCAAAGCACAACGAACAACAATTCTTAAAACGTTTGTCAATAACAGTGGCCTTAAAAATATTTAGAAATATTTCATGCTGCAGGTGATGACTTTTCTTCATATTCACATGCCAAGTAAAAAAGCTGTTCTTCAGGAAACATTTTAAAAAATGTGATTCTCATCTGGCCCACGGTGTAAAGTGCAATGTCCAACTCTTATTATCCACTCTACCTCTCTGGCCTCACAATGTATTTCCTATGAAGAATGTCCATCGCCCAAAACGTCACCTATTACATATTTTCCGTTTAAGGCAACGGTGTCATTGACGAACGTGTTTAATGTTTTTTTTTTTATTGCTGATATAGATTAATATTGATACGTAAAACTATTCATTGTAGTTCTGCAGCATTCTCGACTATTTCATGCAAAAGCTGTTCTTAGGCTCTTTCACCTCTTCCCACTTCAATCCGTCATCATTGGGCACCATTTCGTGTCCTCTGCTGGACGAATGCCTCCCCAACGCTGTCGCCATCCTTCACGGCCTCTCGACACTACAATCCCTTTCACTCCCACACATCTCGTCGCGTTCTCGTCCACATGGTCACCCTCTCAAGCGCGTTCTCGTCTCTGGCTGTCATTCCACCACTGGTCTCGTCCATCGGCCATCATTCCTTCTGTCCAGGCACACTTACTTTCCTGAACAGTCAATATGTAGCTGCTCCAACGTTTTGGAAGCAATTTGTCTCTTCGCTGGAGATCACCACACGGCCATGTCTGCACTCTTTTATATAGACACAATTGAGGTCGAAACAATACAAATGCGAACGTACGCAATTGTTTTGTAAGATCGTTTGATTATAATTATTTAATTTAAATATATTTTACATCGTGTTCACTTATTGATTTGTAACTCTCGCTGCTGTGTTTGTCTGCTGGCAGAGCCACCCTTGACAACAACCTGTATAGCTCAATGGGTAATTTACTCGGATAATAAACTTCTGATCCCAAATCGTGTTCCTTCCTTCTTCTGCGTGTTTCTCATTTTGTTTCTCAGTGGAATTCTGATCATGCACCTCGCCTTTTTCACGTGTGCATGTTTTATCCCAAGTTACGTTGAATTTGTCAGCGTCAATGTGTTTGATCCACGTCACAGTTGGAAATAATAACTGATTGAAAACAAATTCAGGAACATTCATAGTCAATTTAATTTAATTAAAGTGCTCAATTCTGTTCCCATTCGTCTCTTAATTTTATCCTTTTGGTCCCGATCAACCTTCAATAATTTCCTCTGTGTTTGTAATCTTTTGTTTTCCAGCTGTGGCTGTCCAACAATTGTTTGCGTAACAAACAAAAAATCATACACATTGATATATTTCCCAACTTATACTCAAATAATGGCAAAAAAAACTACAATTGTTGCTTAAAGGTTTCATTGACTTTGGATAGTTAGAAGTTGAAACTGACTTGATAAGGCCAGCACAATGAAGGGGTTAATAAGATGTAAATTAATAATCAGAGAGGGGTGAAATACACGTATAGATCATCAGCCAATGAAGAAGATCAGCTCGGTGCATCAAGCATAAGGTTGAAAGGCAATGTGAGTAAATAGAACATTGGAACTTTACCTCTCCAGAGGTAAAATGGAGAATCTATTTTTAAATGATCACATGGAGGGATATGATGCGAATATAAGTTACCAAGTGTACTATGTGAAATCTTTCAGGGCTAGTATGCGTGAGCAATAGAGAAGGCACATATTACCCTCCCTAATGGTAGGTATATTTCATAGCTTTTTAAAAACAATGGAATAGGCAATAGCAAGATGTAGTGATATTGATTTCGGCAGGATATATTCGCAAAAGAGAGATGAGATGGGCTGTGAATGGTGAGGAGTTAATGAGAGGATGAAGGTCATTAGGGAGGGGCAGTAGAAGTTGATGGATGAGTTTGAGAGACACAGGGCAGAATGAGAGAGCACAGAGACTCGGGGAGTTGATAGGAGGCACGCGGAGTAATGGCAAAATTAGTAACTATGAGGAGAAATCATTGTAAAATATCACAAAATAAAAAACCGCGTACGTACTACAGGGTGGTGTTTTTTTAATTGGGGCCATAGCACGTGGACCCACCCTGTTTACTGTGAGCGATCCGGGGCTGTGATTTGAGAGTAAAAGAGAAAGTATATTCTGAATAGGGAAAGTAAACATGAAGAAAGGGGGAGGGCTATGCAATGAATGTGTACAAGAGAACAACGTAAACAGTGAAAGTGATATCTTGCTCAAATGACGTGGAGGTGCGGCTCATCGCCCCGTTTGCAAAGCTGAGCCAGCGGTGGAAATTGAACATTCCTCGTGTACGCACATGGAAACCGCTGTTGGATGTCCATGATATGGTACCCATTTTGTTGACCCTGGAGGTATGATGGGCTGAATCAGCCCCCAAGCAGGATGTGAACTGCGAGTCGCTTCCCCTACCGCTGAGCCCCTGTACCACCGATAGACCATACAGTGACACCACTGTAGTCTGCACTCCTTGAAAGGAGGAGTAGCAAAATTATGCCAACTCTCTCCTGAAGCCCTCGCATGGCCAGCAGGCCTCGACATTGGCGTTTAGCTCCTGAACGTATTGCCATCACGCGCAAGACTAGAAACCGTACGACATGGCGGTGAGTGATACGTCGTCAATTCAATTAATGCCCGAACCCGATCATTTAACCGTTTGATGCTCCATCAAATAAAACAATGTTCAGCCAAAGAAGGCATGCGGCTATGGAAGTCAGGTGTGAATGAACGCTGGCTCAGAGTAGAGGCGTTGCATGCCGTACCCCAGCCCAAGCACAGGAATCTCTTGCGCACGATCCTCTTCATGGACACCCCGCGCACTGCCATGAAGGACTGCCAAGCCTCCGTGAGCACCCAGCAGAAGGAGGCGAGGAAGAAGAAGTGCAGGAACACTGCCACGACGGTGCACGTCACCTGCCAGGTGCAGACATTTCGCGGACGTAAAACGACCTTCATTTGTAAAAAAAATACATCTATATATAATCTGATGGAATTGCAATGGTAAAAGCCTCTTTTAACATACAGCCATTAAATTAGTCATCAAAACCATTGGCCATGATGACGCCATGGCGAATGCTGATTCTAATCGTTCCTTTTGAAAGTAAGTATAAAGTCTTATTTTGCCAGGACTCACTGAATACCGTAACGCCTCACAAAGGGAAGCCTCAATTCGGGGTTAGCCAGACGGCCACCGAAATAAATAAATAAATACACAAATAAATAAATAACTCTGCATGTACATCTTGTGCAGGAGCCTTCCACCTTCACCGTGATGCTAAGAGACTCGGATTACTCGGCACAGCACACGCAGTGATTTTTTTTAAAGTGTTTATAACAGTGTAAATAATAAATTGGAAATATTTACTTATTTGTTATTGACACATTCCATGTACAATTGTGAAAGGTATTTACTAGTCGAAACAAATGAGTATGGAATATGTATTTATTTATTCATATGCAGTACTTCGGACGTCCCCCATCACCTCCCCAATTAGTCACTCGTTGGGAGGTTTTTCTGTTTGATAAATGATCATGTATAATAAAACAAACATTTAAATTAAAAATGAAAATTGCAATCGTGATACGGTTAAAATATTGAACTATTAGTTTTAAATGAAGCAATCACATTTTCACAACAAAGATCAGCTTAAGTATTTAAGGTAAAGGCCACAACTAAATTGTTGGAAAGAGATGGCATGTGAAGTTAAAACTTGCAACAATATATAATGCTAAGTTGTATGATTGGGAAATACAGTAAATCTGTGCTATTACTCTCCACACAGGCGACTCTTGATTATTCGCAGGCAGATTATCCAGATTGCAAAACTAAACTATTACACTTTTTTTTGTATCTTACCATGAGCTACATAGCTTTTTTTCATAAGCGATATGGTCACAAATGATAGCTCAACAAAGTGGCTCATCGCGTGGAAATGATACCAGCCAAATACTCCAAACGCACATTGATTCAAATTGTAGAGGGAAAAAAACTGGACCCGGAAAAAAATCCACACGACCACGGAGAGAGCAGCAGGCGTCAAAGTCAGGATCGAACCAACCACCTCCTGTATACCAGGCGAGGTAGTTAATATCTCGCCACCGTGGCACTATGAAGAACTGTACTCATTCATCTGCTCCTCACTGGTCGAGGATCAATGATAAAGGAGTGAACACGTGTCCACAAATAAGCCAATAACTTTAAGAAACTATAAAAAGCAGACAAAACAGTATACATCATCATGACCATTCTACAGGGATAAACACAAACATGTTTTATTGTTTAGTTTACGTATGTTTTGCATTATCCATGCTTTTGTTTTATGCACGCCATCCTTCCCCCATTACCCCAGAAAATCAATAGTTTACAGTGTAATGATTATTATTTAGTCGTTGATTTATGTATATCAACATATCGCTAAACAGCGGAATACATAAATCCGTGTAATGTTTTAACATTTGGCGCCTCTTAATCTCCAAATTAAAAATGACAACTTAATTCAAGTATCAGTCAAAATGTATTCACCTAGCGGCTCCTAGCCATTAAAGTTAATTCTCGAATCAATATTTAATTCTCCCGATGTGTTCCAGGCCATGAATTGCATTTCGTCATCATGGTAATATCTTCCGTTGTTTTTTCATAATAGGAAATACAATTTCTATATTTTAAAATTTACAACAGGATGGTTGATTGAAACATTATTTTCATTATTCAAAAGCATTGGATATTACACACCTTGTTGTAGGTTTGCGTCTCTCCAATCAGAATCAATATATTGGAGGATATTATTGAAATGCAGAAGTTGAAAAGCAGCAGGCTCCGGTCGGATTTGACAGACCTGGACTCACACAAATAAATTAATATCATTGTAATATTATTATTCAGTCACCCCGTCCACTTGAGCCACAACCATTAAAACCAACCCAAAATATACGCAAACATGTGATTCATTAGTGAGTGAAAGAGTGCTGCTTTGAGTATCCTACAAGAGACAATTGTCCATAATACAGTGAGGGAAAACAGTATTTGATCCCCTGCTGATTTTGTACGTTTGCCCACTGGCAAAGAACTGATCAGTCTATAATTTTAATGGTAGGTTTATTTGAACAGTGAGAGACAGAATAACAACAACAAAATCCAGAAAAACGCATGTCAAAAATGTTATAAATTGATTTGCATTTTAATGAGGGAAATAAGTATTTGACCCCTCTGTAAAATATGCCTTAGTACTTGGTGGCAAAACCCTTGTTGGCAATCACAGAGGTCAGACGTTTCTTTGCAGATCTTCTCCAAGTCATTAAGATTTCGAGGCTGACGTTTGGCAACTCGAACCTTCAGCTCCCTCCACAGATTTTCTATGGGATTAAGGTCTGGAGACTGGCTAGGCCACTCCAGGACCTTAATGTGCTTCTTCTTGAGCCACTCCTTTGTTGCCTTGGCCGTGTGTTTTGGGTCATTGTCATGCTGGAATACCCATTCACGATCCATTTTCAATGCCCTGGCTGAGGGAAGGAGGTTCTTACCCAAGATTTGATGGTACATGGCCCCATCCATCGTCCCTTTGATGCAGTGAAATTGTCCTGTCCCCTTAGCAGAAAAACACCCCCAAAGCATAATGTTTCCACCTCCATGTTTGACGGTGGGGATGGTGTTCTTAGGGTCATAGGCAGCATTCCTCCTCCTCCAAACACGGCGAGTTGAGTTGATGCCAAAGAGCTCCATTTTGGTCTCATCTGACCACAACACTTTCACCCAGTTGTCCTCTAAATCATTTAGATGTTCATTGGCAAACTTCAGACGGGCATGTATATGTGCTTTCTTGAGCAGTGGGACCTTGCGGGCGCTGCAGGATTTCAGTCCTTCACGGCGTAGTGTGTTACCAATTGTTTTCTTGGTGACTATGGTCCCAGCTGCCTTGAGATCATTGACAAGATCCTCCCGTGTAGTTCTGGGCTGATTCCTCACCGTTCTCATGATCATTGCAATTCCACGAGGTGAGATCTTGCATGGAGCCCCAGGCCGAGGGAGATTGACAGTTCTTTTGTGTTTCTTCCATTTGCGAATAATCGCACCAACTGTTGTCACCTTCTCACCAAGCTGCTTGGCAATGGTCTTGTAGCCCATTCCAGCCTTGTGTAGGTCTACAATCTTGTCCCTGACATCCTTGGAGAGCTCTTTGGTCTTGGCCATGGTGGAGAGTTTGGAATCTGATTGATTGATTGCTTCTGTGGACTTTTAAAGAGAGTGCTCCTAATCTCAGCTCGTTACCTGTATAAAAGACACCTGGGAGCCAGAAATCTTTCGGATTGAGAGGGGGTCAAATACTTATTTCCCTCATTAAAATGCAAATCAATTTATAACATTTTTGACATGCGTTTTCCTGGATTTTTTGTTGTTGTTATTCTGTCTCTCACTGTTCAAATAAACCTACCATTAAAATTATAGACTGGTCATTTCTTTGTCAGTGGGCAAACGTACAAAATCAGCAGGGGATCAAATACTTTTTTCCCTCACTGTATATATAAACTTAAATTTTACCAGGTAATGCCCACTGGGCTATATTGCTCTTTTTCAGCAGCGACCTGGCCACAAATGATAGCTCAATGAAGTGGCTTACCATGTGGATATTTACAGCAGCCAAATACTGTAACGGCATGTTTCTAAATTTGGAGGGAAAAATCAGAGGACCCTGAGAAAAATACACGACCATGGGGAGAACATGTAAACTCCAAATATACAGCAGGCATTGGGGTCGGGATCGCACCCATGACCTCCTGCATGCCACCGCAGCGCTATACATTTGTGCAGCGCTGAATGGGTTCATATGAATTACCAACCGCACCGTGTTCTAGCATCGTGGGGGGGGGGGGGGGGGGGGGGGGGGGCGTGAATTTTAAATATTCTTAGGGCACAGCGCAATCTTCCCACCTCCAAATAACTGACATACAGCAAACTGTCTTTCGTCTATGGGAGGTGGAATAAATGAATCTACGATAAACAACAAAATGTACAATTTTGTGCTAGAGTTAATAGCCAAGATCAAGGGTAGAATGTCAGTTAACGCGAGCAAAGTAGTGGATTTAAAAGACGGTACCTCCAGAAGGTAAAGTGAACGATCATGAGCAGAATGAGTGCCAGGGAGGAAAAGCTGCATCCGACGATGAGGGTCAGTGACAGCGACCTGCTGCGATTAATCTTCTGGGAAGGAAATAAAATAAAACAAGAAGGAGGGGGGACAAAACGTGAGGTGGGGTGAATTCGTTAAATGGTTGGTCCTTGCCTTCAATCCCTGTTTTTCTCCAGTAAAAGCATTCATAAAAAAAAAACAAAGCAATAAACAGGCACTCATATAATTACTCGAGAGTGCATTCGGTGAAACAATTGGACATGTTTTGTGATATGCATGTGATTAATCTTAAAAGAAAGGCCAGCGATAAACAATGGCAGCCAATATTCAGGAAACGTATGAACCAACTTACATTTTTCCATAAATCAATGAGCTGTTGGGAGTGAGATTAAATGAAATTGCACTGAACCAAAGGCAACTCTGACATCAAGGAAAGGTCTTCATTTAGCCATGAAAGATTGCTCGTGATGAATGCGTCATGAGAGTTGACGATGAGATTTCACATGCCCCAAATGCCAATGTGCAAACAAGCATTGAATGAACATGTTTCATTTGTGCATGTTTTTACTGGGACTTTGTTATGTAAATTATAACAGTAACACTGGTGCCAACCGGCGCATTGGGATACACGGATGAAATCCGCGTGACAAATGTTAATTAATCTTCTTTGGTTTTTTCGGTAAAGTCACGTAGAATGAGAATAAAATAATAAATTGATAAAATAAAATAACACAATAATATTCTCACGACGTTTTGGCCACAACACAATCGGCCTTCATCAGGTAAAGGTCGCGATCTGAGCGTGGCTTTTTCACTCCAGCGCTGCCCTCCAGACAGTCTCGTCCCTGTTGTGTATACGGAGGAGAAGGGATTTCAGAAATGTGCAGAGTTGTCTCCACTGCCGTGCTAGGAGACCATACCGTTGATCTCTGGATTTAAATAAAGCTTCTGGTAGACATTCTGATTCTAAAGTCCCATGTGCTTTAGGTTCCCGCCAAGTTGCCACGATGTCGCTGCTGTAATTCCAATTGCGTAATTTGCAGGACATTTTTCAGCATTGAGATGTTTTGCCAATACTACTTATATTATATATTTTTTGTAGCTACGGCAGCAAAGCAGACAACGCAGAGTAAACCCATTGCAGGACAGGGGGAGAACATACAAACTCCTCGCGGAAAGGTGCCCGAATTGGGAATCAAAACTTGTCCCTCACCACTGCGCTAACTTGCCAAATCTTTATAACCAGGGTGGCTAGATGTTAACTACCTTGCCTGGTGTACAGCAGGTCGTGGGTTCGATCCTGACCCTGACGCCTGTATAATTGAAGCTAGAATGTTTTCCTCGTGGTCGCGTGGAGTTTTCTCCGGGTCCTCTGGTTTTCCCCTCTAAATTCGTTTAGAGTATTTGGCTGCTATAAATTTCTATATGATAAGCCACATCGTTGAGCTATCATTTGTGGTGAGGTCGCTTCTGAAAAAGAGCATTCAAGGTCAATGGGCCTTACGTGGCAAAATAATAATTATTCTTGGTTCTTTCGGTAAAGTCACGTATAAGGAAAACAATAAAATAATAATACAAAAATTATTGCTGTGGTTTTTACACCTGATGATGATTGCTAGTGTTGCAGTCTAAACGTCGTGAGAATTGTATTGTTTAATATTTTTATTATTTTATTGTTTCCCTTCTACGTGACTTTACCGAAAGAACCAAGAATATGAATCCCTGCAGTCACGAAAGCTTTAAATAAAAAAAAAAATAATTTTTGAACATATATTACCATTTCAAAAAGTCACAAACGTTATGTTGAATTAATCAACAAAGCAACATCAAACCGCTGCAATTCCTCATCATGGTGAACAAAAACTCCGTGCAAATCTTTACCCAGTAACGTCAAAGCGTGAATACGATGCAACGGTGAGCTTACCATTTTAAAGCCCGGCTGCGCCAAAATAGTGAAGCTTGAGAAATGCTCGCAACGGCACTTGGTTCTGAAAGCATCGCTGAACATGGTCTTACACCCAGCACCACTCCATCCGCTTTAGAGCAACAGGGACAGGAATACAAAGACAAACGTAATATCTGTCATGTGTGTCAGAGTGTAGAACCAAGGGTAAAAGAAAGAAAAACTCACAAACTCACATTACATGGCAGTTATATCGCTGCGTGTGAGTTAGAGTGACAGCTACCGAACGTTAGATGACGTAAAAGTGACGATACTAAACTAAAACTATTAAACTATGTTTATTTTACCAGGTAAGGCCCACTGAGCTATGCAGCTGTTTTTTTTTTTTCAGTGGCTTATCACGTGGACATTTATAGCAGCCAAATACTCTCAACGCATAAAATTTCGATTTAAAGCTTTCGTGTCTGCAAGGATTCATCTTCTTTGGTTCTTTCGGTAAAGTCACGTAGAATGAGAATAAAATGATAAATTGATAAAATAAAATAACACAATAATATTCTCACGACGTTTTGGCCACAACACAAGCGGCCTTCATCAGGTGAAGGGGACGAGACTCCAGCGCTGTCCTCCAGACAGTCTCGTCCCCTTCACCTGATGAAGGCCGCTTGTGTTGTGGCCGAAACGTCGTGAGAATATTATTGTGTTATTTTATTTTATCAATGTATTATTTTATTCTCATTCTACGTGACTTTACCGAAAGAACTCTCAACGCATGTTTGTAAATGTGGACGGAAAAGCCGCAGGACTCAGACAAAAAACCCATGCATTCTTGCTCCGTGAGGCTTGACTGCATCCGTACTTGCAATCACTGTCAAGAGTTTTCTCCAAACCAAAAAAAAGGCGTTTGTCAGTAACAAACCGTGCACGGTATTTGGTGTGCAGTTTCACACCTCCCTCCATGCCAATGAGGCCAGCGCTCAGCGGACGCTTAAAACCGCACGGCGCCTGCCGCTGTCGAGACAAAGGCGATGATGCGCTTTGGCGATGGCCACACGAGATCCCTCCACTGCCCAGTTAGTATACGTTGACTACATGCGGCAACTCATTGCAAATTTCGTGTAGCTTACGGGATCCTTGGCAAGCAAATAATGCTTGCGTGTGGTCAGGGGAAATAAATAAAAAAAACGAACGCGCCATTGCCAGGATTGCTGGCGATCAGCGCCGCGCTTTACCGCGGCCGCCAGCGGCTGTTGGCAGCCCCCACCATCTTGCACGGTGCAGGACTGGCAGGACTGGCAATTGAGAGAGGGGCATCATAAGAGCGACATGGAGAGGGATGGGGCATTGGAAGTTGGAGACCGCTGCTGAGGCAATGCTGCGAATGCTGTGCGGAACTCTACCAGCATCTAGTGCTCCAGCATCTGTCTACGCAGGAACTCTATTTGACTGTTTACATTCACGAAATGACCTACCCTGGTGTCTAGAAGGATTTTTTGTAGGGACAGCCGAGTGTTTTGCTCTCCCCCCCCCCACAGTCTGCCAAGCGGGTGAGCGGTACCCCCCCCCCCCCTTTGCCCTCATGTGACAGCGTTCAGGCTAGCGGTGCCCCCTCCACAGAGGACATGGTGGCAGATTCCTATTGGAATGTCTTGCACTGCACACTGACGTATTTGAATATAGGCGAGCGAGCGAGCGAATGTCAGACTCGTGCATTGCCAGGTCCTTCCCTCCACTTGCTACGGCACCGGTCGACCACCAATATCAACCTCCCCCACGCGGTCATGATGCTCGTTATCATCGGCAGCACACCGGGCCGCACAGCGCAAGGCGAGCGAATAGCCGACAGCTGCCAAGAGAGACGAATGGGGGGGGGGGGGGGGTAGCTCACTCCGACATGCAGGACGCAGGTGCGTCACTCGTGATTTGTCGCCCTTTGTGCGCCCCGCCGTTGTCTACTCGCACGGCGCTGTGCACGGCAGCAACCCAGAGCACTGGCCGCCTGCTGAGCAAAGGACTTACCCAGTGCACATTAATGCCGCACCGGATTTGCTGCATCCCTTTATCATCAAGTGATGCAGCACCGGTATTCACAGTGGTAGGCCATAGCCTGTAAAGTGTAAATGCACAGATGCTAAACTGTGACTGGAACGATTCACAAATGTTCCGCCAAGTCGAGTTGCACAATGGTGAGCGGCGCACTGCACTATGAACCTGCACACCCGAGTATATTAGTCAAAATGATAAAGCACACCAGCACTGGTTATTCAAGGCCTTCGTATAGCCAAGGATGCATGGAATTACCTAATTAAAGTCAGCAACACAAGTTGCATAGAACAAATAGACATATTGAATAATTAAAATGGTTAGATTTTTATATCAGGAGGTCGTGGGTTCGATTCCAGCCTTGACGCCTGTATATTTAGAGTTGGCATGTTCTGCCCATGGTCGTGTGGATTTTTCTCTGGGTCCTCCAGTTTTTCCCTACCTCATTTAGAATCAACATCACGCGTTTACAGTAATTGGTTGATATACATTTCCACGTGATAATCTACCTTGCTGAGCTATCATTTGTGGCCAGGTTCGTTTCTGAAAAAGAGCTATATAGCTCAGTGGGCCTTTACCTGGTAAGATGTAAAATGGTTTATTTTATTTCCAAATATCAAGGAACGTAAGGAATGTATCTTAGTTACCTTGATTGTTAACATAGTACTTGATGCAACACCCATCTACATATGCTTGAGTAGAATGTAGCTCCTCAGATATATTTCCTGCCCTGTGTGAGTTCTGTGAGATAAAGGATCTAGTCGAATAAAATGGATGAAACAGGAGGTGAAGGATATAGGAACAGCAATGCTCAATTATGTGTCAGGTCGAGTTTCATAAAGTTAGGGACTTATTCATCCAGGTATGACTTCCAAAGTGATCAGATATTCACTATCAAATTTTCCGTGATAACGTTAAGAACATGAATCAATGGTCACTGCCTATCACCTTCATCACAATTTGTATGAGCAGCAGCAGCTGCGGCTGATGGAGTTACGTCAGCTCGCGTCCACACTCCAGCCTGCTAACCATTGCTGAATCGATATGGCCATAAAAAAAACATTGATCATCAATATACTCACTTCCCACTTTAATAATGATAATTATTTAAATGTACATTATGTAAAATAAACAATATCCGGTGAGGTGGCGCTGTGAGTACAATTGGAAAGTTGTGAATTCAAACCAGCAGTTGGAGGCCAACTCTGCCGATTATTATTCTGGGGTTGATAAAACTGAGTACCGTACTACTTTTCTGAAAGTCAACAGTGGTCATTTTATCGAGATCAGCTGCCACCATGGGAATTAAAAATGCCACCGTTGTCTCAGAGCCTTGAGGCGGAGATGAATGCTGCCCTATTTCTCTTCTGAGCAAGACGGCACCGACTTTACATGTGGAATTGTGTGATCGATGTGGATACGTACATGTTTACCGGGTCCCAGAAAGCACAGTATGAGTTTGTACCCTGCAACAAAAATTATAACACAGTTTTATTCAAATAAAAAATGGTTATTTTCTTCGAGGCATGAACTAATATCAATCTAACAAAATTGGAAAAATGTCATGATCGTGCCATTGCTGTTCGAACAAATTGTAAAGATACTCCCACAATTAATAATTCAGGGCACAGGACACAATTCATTTAACACAAAGCAATAGATTTTGCATCATTTATTATTCACTCTTGGTAAATTTTAATATTGATCACATTTGTAATATCCGCTTCTTAAACATTAGGCATTCCAACTAAAATTGTAACCTTGCAAATGAAAAGCTAACTTAAATATTCACTAAACCTTGCAAGTGCTATGCTTTAAAAATAGTTAAAATGTACAGACCAACCTCATCTATTCACCCATCAGCTATTCACAAATCTACTTGCGATGTTGTTCACCAATGAGTTGTCTGTCGTTTGTGTAAATATATATGAAAATGTTGCGTCTCTGGGCATTTGCAAATTAAGTAATGTAATGTATTGTAAAACACATTACACACATTGTGATCGTTAAGCTTTCATCACTTACAGTCACGATGTCCTCCAATGCCTGTGTCCATGCCAATGTGAATGAACCGTTAAATGGTAGTCATCCTGCTGTGATTCGCATAGGAGACCCCAACATTAGTGTAAAATTTTGGGGATCTTTTGATGTTATGGAGGCACCGCTGACATTCTGAGTTCGAATCCAGAATGAGACCGCCCAAGATTGCACTGGACTCCCAGGTGTAGTTGCTTGATGGTCTCAGGCCCGTAACAGATGGCCACTCCCCTCAACTCTCCACGAGCAACCGGGCAGATGTCGAGAGAGTGGAGGAGTTCCTATACTTGGGCAGTGTGCTTATGACCATCTCAGCTTTGGCAGCAGAGGTCTCCCTCCAAATCACCATTACAAGTATTTAGGTATGTATGTTGAATTTATTTCGCATTATACGTAGCCAACTGTGCTCGTTGGTGGTTTGGGGGAAGGGCAACAATCACATCATTAATACATTTATATGATTTTGACATAGTCATGAAATAATTACTGCAGTGTAAATAATCCATTTCAAATTCTTGGTTCTTTCGGTAAAGTCACGTAGAAGGGAAATAATACAAATCAAACACAATTCTCACGACGTTTCGATTGCAACACAAGCAATCACCTACAGGTGTGAAAACCACAGCAAAAGAAAGAGCCAAGAATATGTGGATGTGGGTATTCCACTGTTATTTGAGGTTTGCAGAGGCATTGTTGAGACGTTTCTTTATTCATAATAACGGTTTGTTGGTTAGATCGGGTAAGTATAAATGTGTCGCAACCCTCCACCACCCGACACACCCAGTAAGGTTTGTCACGTAAACAACGCGCCAATTAGTTTACTACTTCAGCCCACCGGTGTGTTGGAGAGTAAATCCACAAAATGTACAAATTGAATACGACGTTTCGCTGGTAATTACATCCAGCATCATCGGGTGATTTACCAGAATAGTGAAGCAATTCACCTGATTCCTGTCTTAAATAGAGCAAGAAGGCGTCATAACTGTGAACCCACTATTCTGCAAAAACGCCCAAAGATGCTGGATGTAATGACGAGCGAAACGTCGTACTCAAATTGTAAATATTGTGGATTTACTCTCCAACACACCGGTGGGCTGAAGTAGTTACTAAATGGGGCATTGTTTATGTGACAAACCTTACTGGGTGTGTCGGGTGGTGGAGGGTTGCGACACATTAATACTTACGCGATCTAACCCGCAAACCTTTATTATGAATAAAATCTGTCGCGAAAGCCAACGTGTTCAACTGACGTTTCTTTATACTTCCATTAAGTGTACCTAATAAAATTGTACGTTTAAATGGCATACGCATGTGCGCTGTTTTTTGTTTTTTACAAAATTAGCAAACTTTCCCCAAAAAAGAGTTGTGTGCGACGTGACACAAACGGGGCTCAAATGTAACATGTGCATGTGTAATTTGCAAATGAATCCATTGTTTTAAAATTCTGGGGGCATGCTCCGTCACGATCACTAACTTAACGGTTTGACTATCCCAATCGTGAATGAGCTGTCCTGCAAGACTAAACACTTAATATCGAGTGAGATGGCACGCGCGTATATGGCAATAAAACAAAGCAATCGGACGCCTCATCTGTGAAGTCGTGCAACAAAAAACACACACTCCCCTTAGAATAATGTGACGCCGCTCCGGTTGTGCAAAGCGTAGAGACACTGCTGCATCGGTTTGCGCAATCGCACAGTAAAGACGTCCGGGACTGCACCAAGCATTGTTTGGTGCGTGCATTCATTCAGCACGTGAAGGAGTGCTGCGCCAAACGTGTGACCTCTTGCGACAGCATTCGCATAAACCGCTCTTGCTGCCATACACCGGTGTCTCGAATGATTTGTTTGAACGACGGATCACGGGGGGGGTGGGGGGGGGGGGGGGAGGAGACCGTGGGTGTGCCACCATTTCTTTTGAGGGTCGCAGTCCACTTTGAACGTCAATCGTCGACTGAGTGTGAATGCGTGATTCACGTGAGTTCCTGAAGAAGGTCCCGGCACGTGGAGCGGAAATGCCGGACACCGTGGCGAACGATGCGAAGAGCAGCCCGGAAACGTGTCAGGGAAGTGTGCGCGTGGTTTTAGTTTCATTTACAAGGAAACAAATCATCGAGGAACAAACAGAGTGGCAGCGGCGTGCATCGGTTGCTCACGTTAGCCGTGTGGCTGAAGTCCAGTTCGAGCCTGACAACGTCCGGAGCGGGGTTCATGCTCACCGAAATGATCCGAGACTGCACTATCGTGTTGTTCCTGAAAGAGGAAATGTTCACAGCACGCAGCGAGGGTTCAGGCCCAGTCCAAACATGTGAGTGTTGCACAGTTGTTAAATGAAACGAAGAAATTATGTCAAATCGACCATGAAACGTGACAATTACAGCTGTCTGCCCAACTTTCGGACTTCCTAAGACTTGTAGAATTTTACATATTTTTTTTTATAAAGGTTAATCCACCGTTGTGGTCGCTCCATCCAAATTGCGGTGCATCACATCGGATTAAGTGCCTGAATCATATCCTAGGTGATGCACCTTGCAGGTATATAAATTCCATTTCCATGATAAATTGCATCCATATTGATACAAATAAATGTCCTTATGATTTGATCAACTCATTTACTGTAATTCCAATTGTTTACGCAAAATTTGCTTAAATTGCCCCCAATTTAAAAAATATATTTTTTCATCTGACTGCAAATCAATGCTTTTTGTGATCTCCATAGGGCAAGGGTTCCATGTATGTGGCAGCAATTTTCATCCCCAAACTCTTCTGCTCCCGAATTGCATCGTGTGATATGGGCTCCACTCACTATTAAAGCCACCAGTTAGGACTCAAGATGTCAGCGGTTTTGAGTAAATTAAATAATTGCATTCCCCACTTTCTTTGTCGTGAAATTGAGTGGCACTGTGAATCTCGAGTCATATAATTAAGCAATTATGGCATGGAGATTGGAAACAATTGGGAGAGTTCGCTGTGAGTCACCCATCGCTTGGTGCGATTTGCATAAATCCTGACCCGTCACTTAAAAAAAAATATTCGCTTCCACTCTTGCGTTTGCATAACGGGGGCAGGTCAAGCCGTTTCAATACAAATTATGATCTGAAAGAAATAAAACCATCTACCACCACACCAGTTGTCACGGATACAAAGGATGGAAAGGTTCTCAAAGTACGGTGAGCCTCGCAAGGAAGTTAGCGAACAGATGGGGAACACTTTAGATGATAGCATTCTTTATTTTCTCGAGTGGCCGTTACAAATTTGCCGCATCATCAATTTTAATTCATATGGTTTGTGCTGGACTCAATTTTTATTTGTTTTGCTGCCATAAACCGGGTCTCTTTCTGTGTCCTCATACTGGTTGGTGCAGCCACCAAATGGCATAATCAATCGTAATTCATTTGGCAAGCTCACTTGCTGTCTGGTAACATTTCCTGGGGGGTAGGTGCATCCAGCGCTGTACATTTAAATAATCCAATCAGTGAGCGGGAACGTATGTCGTGAATGCAAAGCACAGCTCACTGCCTTGAATTAATAGTATGGAAACTCAAAGCAGCGTCCATTTGAGGCTGGTTCAGTAAATCCAATCAGCGTGACATTGAATTGAATTGGGACCATAAACATCCATTCAGATGTGAAGTTCATCATCATCTCCAACAGAGGTTAACAGCAGCCCCTCCTCCCTTCTCTCAATGACGTGCGGCAATAATAAATAAGGTTTAAAACTGTGGTCCGTGACGCGGCATCGACAATACTGGGCTAGTGATGAAGCTCTCGCCGGAAATCAAAGAAAACGGTAACAACTGAAGAAGTGGTAAAGGTTTTAGAGAAGAAAACAAAACATCTGGCCAACACAAACTGACTAAAAAGTTCGATGCCCGAATTGAAGATGATCAACACAGCTCGGCAGAGCAATGATGACAACCACGTGGTTGTTGAGAATACAAAAAACTTTCAAAGGCGTGTGTTAAACAACTAATTCTAGCGAGTCTCTGGAAAAAAAGCAACTCGGGTGAATAGCCATTAGGGGATCAATGCTACCCGAATCTCTACATCTCAGAGGCTCTACCCTGTGCAATACGGCAGGAATATTATGCCTGGAATACAATGTACTTCGCCTTATATGAACTACACTCGTTTTTACGTCCCCATTCAGCTGGGGGCACATGGTGCAGCTATTGAGCACCTCATGAGGAGGTGGCATTGCACCTACTGTGTCAGGTCATATTTTGCTCCTCCAGTTTCTGATGTTTATATATCCTGTGAGGTACACATTTAAGGCTGGATCGACCTAGGTTCAAATAATACTTGATGCCATTGAGTAAGAGTTGCAATTCATGGTATACATGGTCAGAAGGATACCCCTGCTTACAAGGCATGCAACTGAAACGTGTACCTGGATAGATTCAATAATACACCTCCTGACCATCTCACAGCTCAGCAGGTTTGGGAGTTTCATCAATCTCTACAGGATTCACCACCAATCATGTATGAACTTCTTTCACACCGTTCGCAGCCAACCGTGCTAATCGGAGGTGCGGGGGAATCATGAGCGCACCAGGCACCCATTTAGGGCTGAGCAGAGCGAGAAGCATCAGGCCTAAAGTGTCTTCAAGCTCCAATGAGTGACGAGCATGTACGTGGTGGGGCTCACCTCTGTTGACGGCCCTGAACCACTGATTGAACTCTAGATACTGCACAGTCAATATGAATGCGTAAAAGCTCAAAATATAACGTGCTTGATGAGTGTGATACTCTAACCAAATGGGGGAGCAGTGGCACCGTGGTTAGCGCACTACGCTATCAACACAGCGACTTAAGTTTGATTCCTCGTCATGGCTCACGCTCGTGGTGAGTGATAACTTAGGTGATTCTGAGCGTGTCCCCCCCCCAATCCCTTCATCAATCCTCATGAACTGGCATGGTGAAGGAAAGTCAAACACACCATCATTACCAATGAGGCGTGGGGAGCCTTCATCCGGCCCATAGATTGACAAAGGGCCGAGGTTATTATGCAGTGTGCACTACGCAATGGAGTAAGTGTATGGAGTAAATGTATCATTGTGAATGCAGAAAGTATGGTATTGCGTGTGTTTACCTTGGCTTGGGTAGGAAGGTTTCCAGATGTTTGTAGATCACAATTCCAACGACAAACACCGGCGATTCTGCTGCAAACAAGAAAACATCCGAGCATTTAGCAAAACAAAACAGGGCGCAGTCTGTTATTAAACCAATTCATAGTTTATGGACAAATGCATCAGATTGTCAAACAACTAAGAAAAACTATTTAAATGCAAAGTGTTCCATCGGTTTTGGAAATCAACCCTATCGAAATGTTTGAAGGAATAAAAAATATATATATGAAATATGCACATTTCATGAAAACAATAGATGCGCTTATACGTAACAAACATTGCACAGCTGTGCTCCTGTAATTATACACAGACGTGCACGTGTAAATATACTCGGCATATGACAATTACATTCCATCCATGAGACTCGATTACTTACAATTTATGCAAATTTCCGTACATGTAAATTATACATTTAAGCTGCTGAAGCAAAAGGGGGACTACAAATGAGACTGTGACATACAGCACAAATGAGAGTAAAAAAAAAGAACAAATACAAAACCATGATCCCAAATCACGTTAAATGCTTGGAATTGCCGGGAGTTGAATCCTCAACGACTAAACTCTGTTCGCATCGACAGCTGGTCTTCTGGGTCTCGTGCCCACCCACCCCCGCGGAGAAAAACAAGTTAAGCTGGAGGAATGAACGTAACAAAACTGAACCGCACATTTTTACGTTTCTAAACTGCTCGCAGTTTGTGACCTCACAAGCCTCTTGGTTAAGGGCGCGCCAGTGATTATGCAAGTTGTTCCGCAGCAATGGGACTGGGCCCCCCTACCACCTGCTGAGAGCCAGAGGTTTATGAACTCGAGACCGTAGCCAGCGGGGTCACGCACGCGCTGGCATTTCGATTCCCGCTGGGCCAGCGTTCTTCATTGCAAGGCCGCGCGGGCCACTGGCGGCCTCTGGTGGCTTAGCAGCGCGACCCCTGACCTGCGGCCCCCCGACAATACACAAATGTGAAAACACCCACCCATCATCATCGTCGTGCTGCTATCGAAGCCCAATGGTTTCAAATGCGTGGTGGCCCTCCCACTGAGAGTTCGTGAAGAACGCTGCTCTGGGCCATGAAAGGGCCCACGAGTATTCGGCCCATTGCTGCATGTGCTCGTCAGTTTCTACTGTTAAATACGGGGCACGCACCCTCCCCTAGCCTCCACCCTTTTCCTTCCACTCTACTCCCCACCACCACCCGGGCTTGTGCACCCCCCCCCCCCGCCCCCCAGTATATTTTACGACCGGGCGCTACTGTTTGTCCGCGTATGGTAAGTACCACGAGGTCGAGAGTCCATCCTGGCCACTATTATTGACGACACCCACACCTTGCCATCTCTTCCACCCCTATGCCAGACAAGCTCTGAAAACTTGCGCTTGGTTGTTGCAAATGCTGGAAGATCTTGCACAGCCGACACGAGGACACCTTGACTCCCGCGATCTCTGCGGGAGTCAAGTGTCCGCACTATGACCACATCACAAATATAGGTGATCAGCCATTCAGCACTGGGGAAACAAAGGCAGCCGGGTGTGGTTGTGAGCCACACCACGTCCTTGTCCACCATGCCAGCCTTCATAGGTGCTAACAGCAAATGCCACAACAGCTTGTTTTAGCTATATGGGGCGCCTTTATCTTTACGTGTTGTTGTGCGTAACAGCTCTGTGCAGTAAATAATGCTTCTAACAGGGCCTGAAGAAATGTTCCATGCTAAGTGGATAGAGCAGCTGAAAATAGTTTTCTGGCATGTTCTTCTTGTGGCATAAATGCCGCAAGGGTTGGCTACATATGATTCAAAACAAGCTCAACATACATACATAACTGTCCCTTCGACCGTGCGGGCTGAGGTTTGGCAAATTGTCCCCTCCCCCATTCGAGGAGATGGTCTGGTTGGGTTACTATATGCGGGATGAGTTACAGTGTCCACTGACAAGGCCATCATTCCACCAAACAACTGGACAGAATGAAAAGCGAAAGCAGGCATGACTGAGGATATGCAAGTTATTGTTTTAAAATACAAAATTACTGCATTTGAGGAATTAACAAAATGTGTAATTTTGATTTAAAGCTTTCGTGACTGCAGTGATTCGTATTCTTGGTTCTTTCGGTAAAGTCACGTTGAAGGGAAACAATAAAATAATAAAATATATTATTATTTTATTGCTTCCCTTCAACGTGACTTTACCGAAAGAACCAAAAATGGGTAATGTTAAAACGAGCAGTGTGACACATCAAAGCGGATGCTGCATACACATCAAGACGTAAAAAAGCTACAATTCACAATGTTTTTAGAGAGGGCCGTCGAGAATAAACCCCACGGACAAGTTTAGTTTTTGTTTGTTCCCCTGAGTTATTCTTCAAGGATCTGAAGGCCACGTATTATTTGAAGCGTGGCAACCCTTGCCTCCTGCCGTGACGTCAGCACAGTGCCACGTTGGGGCAATGTCTCCTGATCCGTGGATGACGTTGCCCGGTCGTGGGTCCTTGCTCACCCTATCTTTGCCCGTGTATCTGTCGCAGACTTCAAGGGAGTTGCCACCCTCTGGCGCGTGGCATCCACGATTCGTCACACGTGACGTGGACTGTTGTGCTGCTGTTGAGCATCGAGGGCTCGAGGCAGGCAAGGCAGCACTGAGTTTGTTTCCTTTTTGTAAATCACCGTGTCGCTTCCGATGTGTTGTTGCACGACAACGGGTGGCACTCCACTTGAACATTTTAGACTTCCTCTTGCATGCGATGTTGCCTAACAGAGTTTTAAAAGTTCACCTTATCTCTCCCGCATAGTTACACCATGATATTTGAGGTGAGAGTCCATAATCCCATGGAAATGTCACCACTTATTGTGATTTTAAATTGTCCACCCTATATGTTTGATGTGTGCCTCCGTGTGAACGTGACAAGACGAGCATTTTGCGACCTTAAAACTAGATGTTAACTTCATCTCACGAGCAACGGTGGTTGTGAAATGTAGCTTCGTGTCATTGAACCTAACCGTGAACTTTCAGGGGTATGCGCGCAGTAGGTTTACAATCCATGGCCTCAAAGGAAAAACAAATATTTGAGTGCAGGCAAGAGTATGACGATTCTGGGACTACTACTTGAAAATATAATACACGGGGGGTGGGGGGGGATGTGACTGAGTTCACTTTCACTTATCACGACTCCAGGTAACATAACAGTCAGTCACCGAAAACCCGATCCGAAACAAATGAAATAATGCAGCCTCCTGTTCGTGCAGATTCATGAAAATGCAAATACATCCAAGTTGCGAAATAGCATCCCTGGCGAGATTGGGGAGAGAGACTTTTCCACGCGCCGCAGAAGTTGACGGTGGATGCGCATGACGGCGGTCAGCTAATGTGCTCTGGCATTATTATCGCCGGTGTCAGCGGGGACTAGGAATGTCGAGGCGGTCGGGGACATTGCAAATCCGAGGGTAACACATTGCATAATCCAGCAGGGTGGTGGCTACGTCTCGGGCACATGACTCACAGTCAGAACATTGCTAATTGAAATCCCAGTTGGAGGTCGACTCAGCCCATCATTCCCTCTGGGGTCAATTAAATGAGTACCACTTCAAGAGAAGTCGACAGTCGTCAGCCTCTTAATGAATTAGCCCCTGTCAAGGGTATGAGGAGCGTACAGTATATGATGCACAAAGGGTTATGAGACGGAGGGAAAGAGACATTGCAATAACAGGAGAGGATTTTGATGGACTACATAAAACATCAATCTTCAGTTTTACCAGACCGGTTTTGAGGCAGGGGTAATGTCTGTGTTGCTGTATGGGACAGAGTGCTGGTCTTTTACCAATGCAACTTGTGCCTTCGAGTCTGTAGTTTTGAGCGGAATAAATGTGGCCAGAAAGTTGGACGCTTGGAATAGAATGTGACAGGAAACCTTTGTAAATATAATTGGATCGAGGTGGTTGGGATGGTTAGAGCAAACATGCAGAATGCAGGAGAATAACTTTTACCAAGACAAACATTTGAGTGGCATCCAGAGGTCAGTAACCTCAGAGCACTACTGTGGTGCAGTGTACTGTAACATCCTCAGACCCTATTTACCTTATCTTTCCACGGATGTTTGTGACATCGGTGTTCATGAAGTGATTTCCCTTCAGTATCATATGCAATGTGGAGTGTGATCTACCAGCAACCACCCACCGGTCTACTTCATGACAGATAAGGAGTTTTAGTGTCCAGTTCAACTCTGTTACAGAGCGATCAGGAGAGGGATATACCCAAGTAAGATTGTTATCAGTTTAACGCGTAGGATTTCGCGACGAATATTATCCATAATAGAGGTTTTGTTGGGTTAATTCGCGTGAATATAAATGTGTCGTTAAACCCGCCACCACCTGACACAGCCAATTCTGGCTGTCACCTGATGAGGCTGGTTGCAATGACCTGCGAAATGGCGTACTTGAATTGTAGATTTTGTGGGTTTACTCTCCAACAAACTGGTGTGCGCTGAACTCGTAACTAATTGGCACGTTTTGTTTTACGTGACAAACCTTACAATTATATTCTTGGATCTTTCGGTAAAGTCACGTAGAAGGGAAACAAGAATATGAATCCCTGCAGTCACGAAAGCTTAAAATCAAAATTTAAACCTTACAATTGTCTGTGCCGGGTGGTGGCGGGTTTAACGACGCACTTATATTTACACGATCTAACCCTAACCTATGTTCTGGATAAAAATTGTGTTCGTAGACGACACCCACAATAAACACGTGCCCCTCGCCCCCCGCCCCGCCTGCGTTGCACGGCACGCGCGAGCAGTACACGTCGCACCGGTAATCTCTAGGGCGATCTTCGGTCTTAATGCGAGGATGAAATATGTATGCTCTATGTTTCTGGAGACACACACACGGAAAGGTCACCTATCCCAATGCCAAAGGCTACATCTCATCCCAGCAGTATATATTTTGTTGAATATAAATGTACCGCGCATACGCTCGGCGTGTCGTGCCACGTCCATTGTGCCGACGTCACCGGGAACAGCGCTGACGACGTGCCACGACGCTTGAATTTATATTCA